TAATGCCCCTCCCACTGTCCTACTCTTGCTAAAGACTGGCTGACACGGGAGGCTTGTCAGGTGACATGGACCTCACATGGGCTATTAAAGCTTGGGACTCTTTCTTTAATTGCACGTAGCATCAGCCCTCTTTAGGGTTTGTGTTTGCCTCATGTAATCAAGCCAGTTTGTGACAGTTTGTCTATCATATTTTTTAATCATCTCTGTCCTGTTCAAGCCATTCAATATTCTACCTGCACTCTTCATTACTGTCACTGGGCTTTGCATTTTTGGCTTTCTTGCAAACTGCATTGTCAAGCAGCTAAAGTGCTATGTGATTAGGTTCCAACACAAGACCATAAATAACATATTAGTCTTCTGTTACAAAGGAAACAAAGGTGGTCGTGTTGGAGAAAGGCCAGGTTTGAAAGACCAGTGATGTCTCTTGGCAGAATAAGTCGTACACTGTCATTGTGGCATCTGCGTTGATCCTGTAACACATCAGTCTGAAGCCTTAATACAGAAACACGGGTCAGTAATAGACTTTAGCCACTATGTCCAACACCAACAAAATGAAAATGTAGCAACTACATGTTAACTCTCAGCTCCAACGTTATGACACAAAATGTCAAGGTTTGCTGTTAATATCCAATATTAGGTTTCATCCTTATCAATAACACTGAGTCCTCCCTTTAATGTAAAACTTAGTTTCTCTGTGTCAGTACAAACAATAATGAAGCAAAACTAAAAACATAACAACCATTTTTTGAAATTACGTTTTTAAAAAAAAAAAAAGTTTTCTAAACTATAAATGTAAACCCGACCTTTAGAAAGCTTGGACCAGGTCAAGAACCAATATTGTCATGGGCCTGTAAATACTGGGATAAACACATACGGTATGACCTTTTTAAAGCATATCTCATGCCCGGTCACCATCAAGCAGCAGGTACTTCAAAGAGCTGGGCCTTTTATTCGTAACTTTAGCTAGTGTTTAATAAAATCCAAAGCAAATGCTTAATTCAAATGTACTTAGTACTTGCAGTCTCTGAAAACGGAACTTACCTGGGTAAAAGTGGGGCTGACGTCAATATTGGCTGAGCTCTCTTCCTCCTTCTCTTTCTCCTTCGAGACATTTGAAGGCTTGGACACCAGGTTGGAGGCGAACATTTCATCGACCGTGTTGCTGACGGATGGCAGGGTGCTCTGAGATCTCTCCCAGCCTGCATTTGTAGATGGGATGCTGATAGGTGGGGGCGGGTTTGGAGAAATGGAGATGGATGCCGGGGTTGCGCTGACAGCGGTGGGGATAGGAGGTGGTGGCGCAGGAGGCTTGGGTGCTCTATGCTTGGTGGACCTAGTGGGAGCTGGAGCGTGGTGCTCTGCAGTTTCAGGCTCCTTGGCGCTGACAGAGCTATCCTGTGGGAAAATGTAAAGAAAGCAGCATTGAAGGATAACGTTCAGAAACAAACCTGGCATCAATTTTACATTTTCTTTTCTCTCCTTCTTAAACTGTAGCTTGTTTACATTTGCCATCTGCTTCTACTCGTGGAGGCGTCACTGATGCCAGATATTGCAGTTTCAGGCTAGGTTCTATTTTAAGACACAGTCTGATAACACATGTTAAGGCTGGAACTTTCCATCTGGTATTTATCAGAAACTTTACAGATCATAACAAATGTTTTTGCCTGAGAATTCGGCATCATCCATAACTTTTTTTGAAGAAGTTGCAACCTTCAGATTGTAATCAGTAAATAGGATGTGATGGTATTTTTACATGCGTACCTGTCGGAGGTAGGATGGGAGGGGTTTCTCTCCTTTCTCTATGGACTTGATCTGGCTGGGGGTCAGGGACTGGAAGTCAGCTTGCTCACCCTCCAGCCTGGACCTCTCAGCACTGATCTTCCAGAAAGATGACTCCTCTTCTGGTCTCCGGCCCTCGCTGACCGACACCTTCCCAACCACACAGAAACAGTTATGCACACAGTCCTGCATTCTTAAGATACTATGAAGCGAGGCTTCTCGGGTAAAATTCCTAAAACCTATTTTAGGTGTTCTACTTAGCTCTTTTTAAAAAATGTGAGCAAAGGTGAAGGTTTTTCAGAAATAAATTTATCTGAAAACTTTTTTTGTGGCTACAACAAGCAATTGTTCTGTGAAAAAAAAATCACAATACCAGTAGTCAGGCATTAACCGTAAGAAATACAAAAAAAAATAAAAAATACAGTTAACATTTCTGCCATTTTTACACAAAATTAAACAAACATCACCACATCCACTTTATGCTCGACTACTGCAAATGTTTCACTCATTTTACAGTCCTATTACAACAGCAAACACTTCCCTTCCAAATGTGCATGCTGAATCTCTGCTTCAAACATGAGGCCCCACCATACCTTTGTTCCTGCTGCTCCCTTGCCAATCTGACCGGAATGAGTAACCTTCGCCGCTTTTGAGTCAGAATGGGAGGATGATGAGATCCCCTGGTCTACAGGGCCTGATGTCAAGCTGAAATCCATCTGACTCTGAAAGATGCGAATGACATGTAAGGGAGGATATACTTTATGTATCCAGAAAACAGACATTCCTGTTAATTTATTTTTACCTTTGTTTCCCACGAAAAAGGTGCAGAATGCTCATCCTGCCAGGTGATATCCTAAACACAAACACATGCTGTGATTAGTTTCAGCTTACACAGTCATTGTGCTCACTGCCCGCATTTAAGGGTATTTATACTAGGTTAGGTGGCTAAAGTAACATATGATGTGTGTATTTTCTATAATCTAGTGCCAACAAATACCTTGTCTATTGTAAGACTTCCTTTTGATACACTGGTTTATCGGTTAAAAGGCAACAAATGATACTTCCTACCTGCCAGTTTTTCTTAGGAGTTAAACACTTGTCAAAATCTGCTCATAGCAGCCTTGATATCATTTTTTAAAAAGTGTTGCTGTGAGCTGATGTGTATGTTTTGATGCTTACTATTATAAAACAGTAAATATGTTATTAGTTGCAAGTATTTAAAGCGCATAAAAGGCGAACTGTCTTTGGAAACTCTACTTTTTTTCTGCATTTATCTTTTACAAATCAACGATTACATTAATAATGAAACTCGCATAAATACAGTGGCTCTTACCATATATAAAGATAAAGCCAATGTCATTTTAAACCCTTTAAAATATAAAATGTTTCACTGTTAAATATTTCTATTCATTATACAATGACACAACACCATATTTGTCGCCAGCCGTCTCGCCACAGTGACGTTTACCAACATATTTTCGAGGCTACGTGGCTCTCGCTAGCAGGCTTTTCTTGTTAGCGGGCTATCCTCGCCCTAAAACACACCTTAAACACACAAAATCCAAACTCTAATGTCTTTTAAGTACCTCTTCTCCGAAGTGAACTATCTTCTGACCCGTTTGAATGAGCATTTTAGGGTAACAGACCACTTCTTCACGCTCAACTCTGTGCATAGCGTATCGGGCTCGGATATGAGGATCCATCATCCAGTTGTCGATGGCGTTGTCCTGCTCTTGCGGCGTCATTTTATCCCAGGACGAGCCGTGCTTGGCTTTGATTTTCTCCCTCTCCTGCATTATTTTCTTTGCCATGGAGTTGATGGAGGAGAAGTACTCCAACTTCTTCTCCTCCATCCTGTGGGCATCGAGCCCCGCCACGGTTGCGACGGCCATCTTTAACTGGGGCCAGCTGTTGTTATTGCGAGAAAGAGGAAGCCGGCGTCGCTGAGTGGGCGTCACCATAAAATC